TTTTTTTTTTTTTTTTTAGGACAAGCTTGATTTTCTACTTCATAATTATTCTGACTGCAGATATTTCTTTAAGGATAGATGTTAAAGATAGAAACAGCACAATACTGTCATTTCCTCACACAGGTCTGATTTACAGAACTTAATTTTTAAAGGGTCATCAAGCTTCCCTCCTTCCTGTGGCCATAGCTGTAGACATTGAAACATTTGCCTGCTAACCTTTCAACTCATACACCTGCTCGTGCAGATGATGGGAGTAACACTCATTTTTTCACATGGGTTTTGCATGTATACTTCTATCACCTGTACGAAGGTGTTTGAAATTATCTCTGGGCTGCGCTTTCAACAGATCCTGAGAAATATGCTTGCAGGTGTCTCTGTTTACAATTTTTTTCCTAATCCATGTTGCAAATTTTCTCTCTAGTGGCTTTTATTTCGTTGCTATATTCTGAGATATATTTTCCAGCAACATAAGCCAAGATGCTGGTGCATTCAAGGACTTTTAGACCAATGAACAGTGAAACTCTTGTAAATGTGACCCAACGAAAAAATAGGAGGACAAGAGCTTGCCTGCATAGGAGAATTTTATCAGGTATATTTAAAAACCAAGCTAGCTCTCCATGTGGATTACTCTTAACTTGGAATAAAATTGTCGATATAATTACTCTTATCCTAAAAAAACCCACCCTTTTTTGGTTTAGTTTACGACAGTGGTGCTCAGCTCTGGCCCATGGGCTGAATGAACCCAGTCCGCAGAGCTGTGCCATGCTGCCACAATGTCCAGCTTCCTCCACAAAAGTCATTTAACGCATTCTTTTAAACAATCCACTCTGAAAAAACACGCTTTTCATTTTCTATCAATTCCTGATAAAAAATTAGACGTCTGCTTTCTAGGACTGAACATTTAGATGAATATGCAAATATTGTAATCAGATAGGCAAAAAGGCAAAGCTTCTTCTGCTGGCATATTTCAGACAGTGCAGCTAACACAAAGCATGAATAAGACTGAAGCACTGGCAGAGATTTTACTATACACAACTCTACAAGCAGAGTTTTAAGGTGGGCAACGTCTTGTGTGCGTGTATTAGTAGGGTCTCTGACGGGCCTGCGTTCATGGTAATTTTGTTTCTTCTTTTTGTTATCACAAAACAACTGCCTATCGGGATCCACTTGCTAGTCTGACGACAGAAATGATACCAAAGAGCCACTACGGTATCTCCCGCAAGGCCTCTGAAGCACCTGTCCAGCAAGGCATCCTCATTCCGTGCTTACACTAAGGTTCAAAGAAAATGTTAGCAACTAGCTCCCACCCCCACAGACATACCCATTCAGCTCATACCAAAGAAGTCTGCATAATAACCTATCTCTTGGCATCAAATATACAGCATGGCTCTTCATTATATATCCTGTCTGGGGATCTCTGTTCAACAAAGCAAAATAAGAGATGAAAGTCAGACCGTTCCAAGTGCAGCCCACATACTACATTTAATTTCTTACAGGGTTTAAGCTGAACGGAGAGAGCCTAAGAAAACCCTGTCTGAAAGGCTGCCTATGTTGCTCATCTCTAAGCTAATAATTAAGGACATGACCACCCTACAAGTAAAAGCAGTTACCCACAAAAAGAAAGTGTAATACTTCTCTTTTCAAAGTAGCCTATCAAAAGGTACATTTCCACTAATGAGACCACATTAGAATTTAGTGAACATTTGCTTCATGATATATAGCAAAAGGAGTTTATGTTTTCTTGCTCTTCGGCAGGCTTAGACATGAACAAACACTTATGGAAAACAAAAACAGCACTATGGCCCTTTATCAGTGTAAGGGAATGCAATCAATCAGGGATCAGGACACAAAGATCTGGCAAAGTATGTGGCTCACATCACAATGCATTAATTTACAGTTGTTCGTGTTTTTCTATTTTTAAGGGGAGAAAATAATCTAACCTTCTTAACTTTAACGCCATCCTTTGGAGTTTGCTTTGTTGCAAGGTTGTACCCAATCATCTGCTTAGCCAGCTGACCAACCTCCCCAGGGCTACAAAAGAAAGAAGTCCAGTTATGAACTCATTCATTAGGTAAGCAGTCACTGTAAACAGCTTCAACATTATTGGATTCAGGTCCTTTGATTTTTAGACTTACTCTTTAGTTAGATGCACTCCTCCTTTTAATCCACTATTGAAAACACCTTTCCCTCTCCCTCCTGCCAGGATCTGAGCTTTTAGAACAATTTCTCTTGCCTCTGTAACAGAAAAACAATACATGGTGTGGTGCTATTTAATGCCATTTATTGACTTACAATAACTACTCATCTATTTAAAAAAATAACTAGAATGCCATTAGAGCGCATCGGAAAACCAAATGTGCACGAGTTCAATGCTGCGAGATAATCTTACCAAAAAAGGTTGTTTCCTATTTTTTCATGTCTAAAATAGGAAAAAGAATAACCACAAGCTACCCACAAGCTAGCTAAATATGTGGGTATTTTGGCCAAGTAATTTGATTACTAATAAATGCCTTATTAAACAGTTTATACACAATTTGCATAGTTTGTTTAGCCAGCATTATTCTCCATCAGAAGGGTATGCTCTTTCAGTGGTTCTGTACACACATGATGGCAAGCAAATATCGAACCAGGCTAGTAACCTTTGCGCCTACAGAGGAGTCCATATCTGTGTACCGGGTATAGTGCACTGGTCCATCACTTCCCAGGCTGAAGTAGGCACTGCAATCTCTGCTGTTCCCTTACGTGCGTGTTTAGATCAGTCTGATCCATGGAAGTACAAACCCAGTGACTATGTAAATGCCGCTTCCCTCCCTGCCATCCTGCTACCTACTTGGCTCCTATCCTTCTTCGGTTGGAGGACCGAAAATCAAATCTTGTTAGCACAAATACCACGGAATAAAACGATTGCATTTTTATATTAAGATGGAAGCCTGCTTTTTTCCACACAGCCCATAAAAGAGCATGCTAAAGAATATCTGATTTTCAGGCTTCTCAGGATAAAATACGTCCACATGCTTATCCATCTGCTAATGTTTGATATACATCATTCTGAGCCTTCAAAACACTCTCCTTTACAATACTTCATGCATTCGAACACATTCATATTCCCAGTTCCCTATTATTCATGCCACTCCACAGCAGATAACAAGGAAATTTAAATGCAACAAAAAAGTTTTGTATCAGTGTTTTCTAAGCATACAAATTATTAAGATGAATTCAACTATAAATCACTTGCCAAATGACAGTAGCAAAACTTAAAATCACACTGAGGGCTGTGATAAAACATCTAATTTGCCATTGTTAATGGATACTACAAGCACTTAATTAGATTAGTTTTACTCACTAACCATCCCAACAATGAAAGCTTTGTATTCTGAGTGATAAGTGCTGTCAATTATGCATGTGATCATTATGCTTTGTACCAAAGGTCTTCAGGCCACCAACTCAATTTTATTCATAGCTTCCACATTGCACACCACCCGGATTCTTTTCATTTGACTGTAACAAATCAGGCAAGAAAGCTGAATTAAATGACTATCTTTTTTATAATCTGGCAAAAGAATGTGAGGACAATACAATAACTTTAGAAAGACAAGGATCAGAGACATAAATACGCAAGCTAAAAAAGTAAGCATAACTATGTAAAGGTTAGACCTGAAGTACTAATCAATATACCAGCTCAGCAGAACACAGCACAGCAGGTTCTTCTTACCCTGGGGGAAGCCGACATGAAGTTATTTAATTCAACAGTTATTTGCCCAAGCTCTGGAAAATGAAGCAAACCAGCCAAATCTTATTTTACAATAACTAGGCTTGATCATTCAGTATTTACCAAGTTGAATCACTACTAATGTCACCATTTCTATTTTATTTAAAGATCTGATTTCTGGAAACGCTCACACAAATTTCTGTTTGTTTTTATGTTATCTTCTGCTTGAATTCCCAGATTACATTAGGAAAGACTATCCCATACAAGAAATGTAATTTTAGTCAGAATATATAAAATGATTTAACTGTACTTTCAGGATAACTTGGAAAAAAGCACAGATTCTAATCACATTTGTATGGAAATCTATTAAATGTATATTCACACAATAAAATTATCATGGATTTATTCCTTTAGCATCTATCAACACTGTTTTAACAAAGCTACAAGCAACTGTAAAAGACAACTTTTGTGCAGTTATTAGTATAAGTTTATACATATTATAAGTATCTGTGCTTGGCACTATTCAGAGTATGGCACGTTGGTAGAAACAGGAATGTTCTGTGGCATAAGAGAGTAAAACGTAACCCTTCCATCAGCACTTCACTTGCTAATTAACATTTCTCAATCAATTTCTATTCCATTGTTTGATCTTTGTCCTAATTGTTTTTCGGTTCAAAAAACATTTCAGATTGTTTGTTAAAACTGTGTAGGTTTTAGCTGTAAATATCAGCCTTGCAGCATAAAGAGAGGATTCCAGCAGTAGAATTACTTTTATTAATTATAAGATGAATACTTGAACCACTCTTTGCTAGATCTTATGTTTCTTTCATTTCTCTGCTTATACTGCTGGAAAATGCAACTTCTGGTCTATTTTGTTTGACTTTTCTGTTAGGATACATGAATTCCACATATTTTCACTGAAGTGTTTCAACAAAACCACGCCAGGTCTCTTTAACTGTATTTGTCTTAGACATAAAGTTGAAGGCCAAGGCCTGCAGTCCTCCTTAGGCAAAATTGCCAAGCGTCATGTCCTACAATTTCAACCGGGAAGAAGTAATGCATTTCTATCATACTATTACTACATACTCATGCAGATTTAAACCTATATGGACAACATTTAAGCTACAAAATGCAATCAAAGACTCAGGAACTAACATTCTTTACACTGTATTCTACAATCCATCTCTTTCTTTTCTGTTAGCATCGTGAATACAAATTGCTGTGACACCTTGAAATTGCAATAGGCTCAGTGTTATAATGAAAGCCTATTTTGAATCAATAAAATTGGACCTGCTTTGGGGAACTATGATTACTCTGGTCCACTGGTACTGCCTGCAGCAAAAGTGAACAGCTTGTTCGCAACCCACTGCTGTATATATTTAACTACTGGATTTTCGATCACAAAACAATACACTGAGAACTGTGGTTTCTCTTTTTACCCAGCTTGATAATTTATTACCTGTGAATATCTTTCCATTAAATGTTGATAGGATGATATGCCAGCCCATTTAAGTACATTAACATTTGCAGTTGATCAAAAAATAAAAATAAAAATAAAGCTACCACATAACAGAAAGGACCACATATTAGAGGCAACTGCTGCTGTCTCACAACAACAGTCCCATGTACCAAGTCTGACATAAGAACAAAGAATGGTTCTGGACCAAAGAAATTCACTCGGGCTTTAATAAATAAGTCAACATTTGATAGAGTATGGCAATGGGGTCTCCCCCTCAAATCCTCATCCTACCTCTCATTCACCGAGTGACTTTCCACCTGCTACCTGTAGATCTCAGCTCATCTGCGAGCCAGGAACAAATCTACTAACTTAGCTTGAGAATTAATATTTGCTCCTGTTTTAAAAGATGTAGGGCCTGACACCTGAATCTCTTTAACCCTAGTGTAATGCAAATGATTTTAAAGAGGAGGAGGTGGGTGGGGAAGGAGCAAAACTCAGGCAGTGTCACGTAAGTAGGAGGGAGCAGTCAAACACTGCTGGAAAGTCTCAACCTGGGTCTCAAAAGGGTCTTGTAGCCCAGGGTGAAGCTCTCCCTGCTGGAGGTTCACTAGGATGTTGTGTTTGTCTATGCACTTTTGGGTCCACATTGCTTTTAAGCTTTCCTATCTCAAAGCAGGCTTTATGAACAGCCTCTCTTCTTTGCTGTCTCTGACATGCTTCTGTGCCTGGGTTGCTTGGTACCTTCTCTGGAAGAAGGACTCTATGGGCGCGTCCAGATGAGTGCACATGTGTGGTATGTGGTGCCATAGTCCCGTCTGAGATCCTGGTGTCAAGTATAACCCCAAGGTAGAAAAAGGTGATGTGGCTGCAGCGTGTGCTGCCTGAAACTGGAGCATGGCCGGCTGGACCACAGTCCACCGGTCCGTCAGGCTCCCTGCTGCTGGAGCCCTGGGAGGCCCTCAGGACCCCAGGTAAAGCTGCTGCCCCAGCCTCCACTAACCCACCTGGGGTAACTTGCCATGCACCAGAGCATGCACGCATGGGCATTCTCCAGGGACACGTAGCAGTGGTACAACTGTGTCACTGTTGTTTGGCCCCCAGGAAACGCACGTGCACACTCATCTGGATGTGTCCTATAAATCCAGGTGCCTTACACTGTGCTGACCAACAAAGATGTTAGTCTGTTAAACACTCCCTTTGTCAGAGCTCCTGTGCTTCAGGGACTCAGGATAGTCAGAGCAAATAGACACAGGATTTTGTAGAGGGATTTCTAAAAAGCAACTACTCTTTACTTTCAAGAGCCCAAGAAAGGTAAATGGTAGGTGAAACAACAAACATCTGCATCACTCCCTGCTTCAGCTTCCTTACTCCTGCTAAGGACTTCTGAGACCTGGGTCAGGACAGGTCATGGGGGGTAGAAACCCACAGGGAGCTGGTCCTGAAATCTCAGAACAGAATTCATAAGCAATACAGTTCATGTCACCTTTGCACACAAACATGGACCTTTCTGTATGCATGCTAAAGGTTATATGTTTCCTAAGAGGTTACACTGCCTACAACCTTCTTAACTCCCCTTGTTCTTAGCATTAAAAGGGATGCAACTGGTTCAAGCAGCACCCCCACATATTACCAGGTAAGCAAACTAATGTGAAATAGGAGCTGTTAAATATATATATTTTTTAATTGAAACTCTCCCTCTTCCACTCCTCCCACCCTTCCCCTCTTACCACTCTCCCACATTCCCAAAGTAAGCCATCTTTTCACATGCTTCATTCCCCCAGTCTTTGAATTTAAGTCAGATCAATCATCCTTTTTATAACTCCATACCCTGGAATATATTGTATATTTATTACTAGATTAGAAGCCTCATTAAAATCTATAATGATAGATTACCCAGATTCCTGAACCTGTCACTGATGTTATTAATTACTTCCATAACCATTACGACACACTTCACCAGTAATAAATTTTTTTTAAAGCCAGATAAAAATCAACGAAGTTAAGGCTCACCCTTAACACTGTACTCTTAAATCTTCTCAAAATAAGTAATCAAGTAGCCAGGCTCGC